GGGATTATTGGCAGGATTTCAAAATGTTCATTCAATCATAATTGACAGTTAACATCCTGTTTCCTCTGTTCTACAAGTAGTGTAGTACTATCTAAGTGTTTGGCTGGTGGTCATTTAAGACGCAGTGTAAACCAAGCAGTAGAGAAAGTACATAGAGAAAGACAGAAAGGATTCTTATCAATCTTGAAGTCCTAACATTAAGACCACTGCTGCCATATGAACCCTTTAAAGGCGTACAATAACTGTGGCCACGAGACTTTTAGGCTTAGAGTGTGTGCCGGGCGATGTTGAGCATTATAATCCCTTATGAAGTCAAGTGTTGTTCTTCAAAGTAGGGTAAAGTTGCCCCTGGTTCTAGAGGAAAGCCTTTCAGCTGATTTGAAACATTTGGGTGCATTGTTGGTACTCAGCTACTGATCACTGTTGTGTTTCAGCGCCACCCTGTTTTCACAGTTCACGATCATTTTTTGTGAGGTATAAACAAATCAGGAGGAAAGCCTTTTCCCCCCCCTGCCTCCAAACAACTGCTTGTGAGTGGATTATCTTTTTCTGTGCAGACTGAGGATTATCCTCACCTCTTTTTTTTTTTTTTTTTACCTTGTTTGATCATCTCAACATTGTATTTACAGCCCTTCCTTTGGGAAGTTAAAGAAGTGGCACAGTCCACCGTGTCACTGCATATCAGCCCAATTAGTTGGTGATAAACCCTAAACAGAAACCAAAGAAGCCTTTCTAAATAAGAATCCAGTTAGTGGAGCTCATTACAATGATTTGAGCTTGCATGTGAATGTGCATGGGAAGTGTTGAGAGCCAAAAAAAGAAGCTGAATCGCTTCAATGACCAGTAGCAGCTACGTGTCTAAATATACTTGAAGATTAACACAACAACAAAATCTTTAATCAAAGCAAGGTATGTCATGTAAATGCTATAATAAATCATTAAAAAAACCTGTATGGAACTAAAATATCTCACATGTTAAGACATCCCTCCATCCTCACTCTGAATTCCTCAAATTATTGGCATTCCACCAATTTTACACATTTTATACACGAGACATGCACAACACAACTCATGACAGATGAAAATGTTTCAATTTGAGCAAAAAACATATTCCCACACACACAGTAGATTTTTTGTGTTAGTCCGACAGAAACTGGACTTTTAAAATGCATGCAAAAATGTTAGTCTGACTGAGATCACACTAAGTGGATTTTCTCAATGTTGGACCAAGACACCATCGATAATGCGGTTGGAGATCAACTCTTGCATGTACAGTATACACCTCAATCAGCCTCAAACACTAGGCGTTCTACGCTTGGGCCTCAGTTAGATAGATAGATAGATACTTTATTGATCCCGAGGGAAATTCAAAGCATCCAGTAGCAGGTTACAAAGACGTACATGACATGAAACATTTGTTACAAATTAAACCGCAAAACTGACGCCCCCCTTCCCATACATATATATTAACCTGAAAAAAGAGATTTAAAGAATACCCTAGATGAATCAAACTTAAACTGTGCAATTAAAAATAGACTTATGCAAAAATGTACATAACCCATGCAGGGATAAAAAGTTCCCGTGCTTTGACCAAGATGTTGAACAGCATAGATATGTAGAGAAAAGCTGAAAAGTACTTGAACGAGAACCATGCATTTCCGCGCAGATATATTGAAGTAGATGGATTCCAGGAATGGGTGACTATCGCAGTCGGACATTCTTCTGTGTCAATAATTCTCGATTCTCCTTCAGTGCTTGTATACTGGGTTAAGGAAAGTAGTTCAATTAAATGTCCTAATCAAGCTATAACCGCAGCTCTACTTGACTGTGCATGTAAACATACCGACTGGCCGGGCATCTTTTGCTAGCTAGCTTGAAGCTAACACACGGTTGCTACATTGGTTCTTCAGGTCAGGTCAGTCGAGTAAGTAAAAATATGTCAGAGATAGGACGGACGTGCAGCGGTTTTCTTCTCAGCGAACAAACGCTTCATGCAAACACTCCCGAGCGCACAGCCAGCACTTTTCTGCGCAGAAAAAATACTAGGTAGACACGGGGTCCTTAAGTCTAAAAGACAGGAGCACTTATGATGACTAAGGTTTTTTTTAAAAGAGATGCTATGTTACAAAGTGGGAATTTTACGATCAAATATGTCAGAAATTAAAAGGACAAGATGATATCATCTCTGACACTGCTGATTATATTTTGACCTGTTTTTTATTTTTATTTTGGATCATTCTGAGGTGTTATACAATATCAATTTAATTACATTAAAAATACTGCATTATTTTACATGATTAAATTATGTTGTATAAAATGTTTGGTAATGTTTTAAATGCAACATTGCTATACTATAATCTTCAAACTACTGTCATCAAAGTGCAATGGAAAACTGATCACTATCGACCATTCAGAGATATGTGATATAGATAATATCTTTAAATTACCCAATAATTTATTTTATAATGAAATGTTTGCATTGGGTAGCAGAGGCCAGATTCAATATTAAATAATGCTTTTGTGAGACATAACCAAGAATCACCATGAAGATGCATGACATTTGCACAGGGGCTTTAAAATATCACATATTTCTGATGAATGTGAACCAAATCGAAGACACTAGCATCATCAAAGCATGTGACTCATGCTGAACCGTAGATACAGCGCAATTTAAGGGCTGGTTTTAGTGGTCAGGAAGCAATGTGACATCCCCCGGAGGCTCGGACGCTTGTGAGAACAACATTTTCCTGTTAGATGAGCATTAGTAAATTAGTACGAGCTTTATTCAGGAGTCCGGTTCAGTGTTTTCCAGTGCATAGCTAACTCAGCAGTCAGTCCTGACCGGAGCTCAGAGGAGGATTAACAAGAGTGACAGCGTACAAATGAGCATTGAACTGAGCTGTGCACATCACAAGCGGGTGTCACACAGCGGGACACACATATACACAAACTATATCTATTATAACTGCAATGCTACCCATTACATGTAAAGCATCTGAAGAGGCTGCAGACATTATGTTTTGAAACTTGATTCCCTATGTGAGGGTGGATGTAAGGCAAAGTCCAAGACTACTTACTGGATGTTAACCATCAAGAAAAAATGCATGCTAGGGGAACTTTTGAGCTCTCATAGACACATTTTTCTTATATAACACAAACAACAAGAGATAACCATTTAATAGCTTTTCTATCAAGACTTAAGAGTGCACTAGGAATTTAATTTTAAACTTTGATGTGAAACTAGTAAGAATCAAATGATGACACCTGACTAAAAAAAAACTAGATGTCCTAGGCACCTGATGTAGGGTAAATAGGGATGTCAAGATTCATTGTAAAATCGTGATAAATCGATTCAAAAGGTGCCAAGATTCACATTGGTACTCTGAAAAATGAATCGCAATAATATGGTGAGCGTCAGCAGCTGTAGAGTCTTTTAAATCGAAAGGTGAGGATGTATTTCCGCTTCCCCAAGACAGAAAATGAAAGAGGTGAGAAGATAACAGACGAGACAAAAAACTGTGTGCAAATAGTGCAAGAAGACAGAGAACTACACAAATAGCACGACCAACATGATGCAGCATTTAATCGACACCACAGCGAGAAGCTCCAATCGCCTCCCCTTGTTGAGAGAAGAAAAACCTTAAAAGGCCAAACACTAACACTAACAAGCGGGTTAGCAGCCCCTGAAGGAATCTTTTTCATTCATAATCATGATTTCATGATAATATCTGTCTCACCTTACTGTAACCTGTTCTGCACATGTTTAAATTTACAAATTATCCCTGCACTCAAGTTCACTTCATTTGTCTGTCTACTCGCCGTTACATTGAATAGTCTCTGCTGATAACATGTCTACACTCATGCACTTTAACTTATGTCAATACTGTCCATTTACAACTCTGTTTTTGCACATTTACATTTAATCTTTCATATTTAAGACTAGTAATGCTTAGTTAAATCCTGGTTGTTTATATTCTCATTCTTAGTGCTTATTTACTTTGTATTTAATAATATATAATGTTTAGATTTGATAATATTGTGTTTTTTGCTCATATTGTGTGTTTGGACAACCTGCTGCTGTAACGCCACAATTTCCCAGTTTGGGATCAATAAAGAAATTCTATTCTATTCTATTCTATAAATGTGTCTCATTTTGTAAAATAAATCGTATCGTGAACCCAGCATCGTGAATTGTATCATGAGTTGAGTGAATCGTTACATCCCTACTTAAGAGGGCACTAGGTTTGTGAAACTAGTAAGAATCAAGACACTGACAGGCTGCCTGTCTTGACACCTCGAGTACAAAAAAAAACTAGATGTCATAGGCACCCACATGGTAGATTCTTGTGATTTTAAGAAACACGAATCGCATGCAAACTCATTTGCTCTGCCTGAATTGGGAAAACAAACAACAGCATTAGCGAAATGCTGCCAATGCAGACAGTGCTCTCTCTCTCTCTCTCTCTCTCTCTCTCTCTCTCTCCCCATAGCATCTTTGGGTAAAAAAAAAAATAGTGAATATCTTCAGATTTTTGTCTTATTAAGCTTCAGTTCTTTGTGATACTATCTATTATTAAAATAAGGGAGATTAACTTGTTCTTAAAACACAATACCACATATTAACAACCCTAATGTATGCACTTTACGCTTCGCTATTTCTCAGTTTTCTATGGTAACGCACTTCCATATCTCCCTACAGGGACCCATAGTTTCGCTACTGATATTATATTTTTAAATCATCACTACACGGATGTTTAGAGGATTCCTGTGCTCATTGTGTCACACTAAATCACCCTTTACACTAGCAAAATGTCGATTTGAGAGGATACTGGTATTCGTAGTGGACACACTGGGGATAAACCAGCAGCACGTCAAGCTAACTGAAAATGTTAGCTTTCAGCAACTTAGCAACAAGGTCAAATGCTACAGCACGGCGGAGTGATACGTGTTGTTTAAAGATGCTTTGTGGTGTAAAGTGATGAATGTGAAAGCCAGTTTACCTTTCGCTGACCAGCACCACGTCGGCATCGCTCCAATGTTTGAACACACACGGCAGGATCCTCCTGAAGGCGAAGAAGAGACCGGGGAAAACTACGGCGCCACAAGCTAAAACTTGCAACATCCTGCCTGTCTGTTCCCGTGAAGCTGCCCGGCGACCTGACGCTCTCCCTCCGCGAGTTTCTCCCGTTTATCAGCGGCGTTGAGGCATTTTTTTGTGAGGCCGGTTGTCGGTGTTTTTTCACCGGGAACAGTCCGCCATCCACATACACACACACACACACATACACACTGCTGAGGCTCAGCAGCAGCACCACTGTGTCGAGCTGAAGACGATGAAAACTAACGGTAGTTTCCACGACGACCTTCACAATAAAAGTCTTGACCCGGCGCCGAAACAAACCACGCTTTTATTTTGAAGGACACACTTAGAAACACTGAACCACAAAAACAATATTTTTCTGTGCTGTTTTTAAGTGATTGGTTTATTTCTATATGAAAGTTTTCATTTAAATCTTGATTTAATTAACAAAAGTGGAGACAGCACTATTAATATCATCATCATCATTATTATTATTATTATTATTATTATTATTATTATTATTATTATTATTATTACTAACCTTGTGTTATTATTATTACTATTATTATTATTATTATTATCATTACTAACGTTGTATTATTATTATTACTACTATTATTATTATTATTATTATTATTATCATTACTAACATTGTATTATTATTATTATTATTATTATTACTATTATTATTATTATTATTATTATTATTATTATTATTATCATTACTAACATTGTATTATTATTATTATTACTATTATTATTATTATCATTACTAACATTGTATTATTATTATTATTACTATTATTATTATTATTATTATTATTATTATTATTATTATTATTTAGCGTCAATATATATATACATATATACTGTACATTCTATATATTTTATTATATTATTATATTAGTCTATATTATATAACATTTCATTATATTACACTATATTGCACTATATTATATTATATTATATTATACTACATTATATTATATAACTGCACTCTGCATTACTGTGGTACAACACTGCCTCTCTTCTCTGCTGTTTTACATTACTTGCTGCTATTTATCATACCAAGTCACTTTAATCATCACTTGTCACTTTATCTTTTCATTCTCTGCAAATACTGTCTCAATTCCATGCATAGTTTAATGTGTATTTTGAGCTTTCTTGTCTGTGCTGCTGCAGTGTCCGAATTCCCCCTCTGGGGATCAATAAAGTATTATCCTATCCTATTCTATCCTAATATGGTGACTGCCATCGTTCAAGCTCAAAACACTTCTTTATGAGCCAACAGGGGAAAAACACTAAGACAACTTTTATTTTTTAAACATTCCATAATTAAGACATCCAATAGACACAGTAAAATTCAGAGTATTTGGAGACAAGTTGTATATTATTTCTGCCTTTATTTATGATTTTGTTCTCAAAAGCCTCTGAGAAAAAATATTCTGTCATCTGATGGTTTCTAAATGTGTTTGTTTGCTGTCTGATTGTTTTCAGGTTGCATAGAGCAGCTTAACAAGTGGTAAAATTTAGTGACCATGCTGTAAACCAAAACAATAAGGTCATTGATGCTCACTCATGCCATAGAGCTTAAGGACTTCACCGTTGAATTGTTACCTCTGACAGAGTCTCTGATGCGTAACTGAAACGTCAGAAGCTTTTTATCAGACGTCTAGTTCAGGCTCCCTTTAAAGTCAATTGACCCGGCTTCACTGGCCTCGTGTCTGGTAGCTTCTTATTAAAGAGCCTCTGGCATCAAGATTCACCATGATCCAATATTGTAGCTGTGACAGGACATCCTGATTACCCTAATAAACTACACAGTACAGCTTGGATTATTGCACTTTAAACTCATTGTGTAACTCAGAATGTTTGTTTGTCTCTCTATGTCAGCCCTGTGATTGACTGGCGACCAGTCTAGGGTGTACCCTGCCCCTCGCCCCGTGACAGATGGGATAGGCTGCAGCAGGGGTGATTCTGGAGTCTTTTGAGGCCCTGGGCAAAATTCACAGGAAGCCCCTCCAACCAGCATTCATCATCATTATGTTATAAACGATTTAAATGATTGGATGGATGGATTGATGGACGGATGGATGGATGATTGGATGGATGAATGGATGGATTGATGGATGATTGAATGAATGGATGATTGGATGGATGGATGATTGGGTGGATGGATTGATGGATGATTGAATGAATGGATGATTGGATGGATGGATGGATGGATGGATGATTGGATTGATGGATGGATGGATGGATGGATGATTGGGTGGATGGATGGACTGATGGATGGATGGATGGATGGATGGATGGATGATTGGATGGATGGATGGACTGATGATTGGATGGATGGATGGATGGATGATTGGATGGATGGATGGATGGATGGACGGACGGATGGATGGATGGTTGGATGATTGGATGGATGGATGGATGGATGGACGGATGGATGGATGGTTGGATGATTGGATGGATGGACTGATGATTGGATGGATGGATGGATGATTGGATGGATGGATGGATTGATGGATGGATGATTGGATGGATGGATGGATGATTGGATGGATGGATGGATGGATGGATGGATGATGGATGATTGATGGATGGATGGATGGATGATTGGATGGATGATTGGATGGATGGATGGATGGATGATTGGATGGATGGATGGATGGATGGATTGATGGACAGATGGATGATGGATGGATGGACGGATGGATGGATAGATGATTGGACGGATGGATGGATAGATGATTGGATGGATGGACGGATGGATAGATGATTGGATGGATTGATGGATGATTGGATGGATGGATGATTGGATGGATGGATGATTGGATGGATGGATGATTGGGTGGATGGATTGATGGATGATTGAATGAATGGATGATTGGATGGATGGATGGATGGATGATTGGATTGATGGATGGATGGATGGATGGATGATTGGGTGGATGGATGGACTGATGGATGGATGGATGGATGGATGGTTGGATGATTGGATGGATGGATGGATGGATGGACTGATGATTGGATGGATGGATGGATGGATGGATGATTGGATGGATGGATGGATGGATGGACGGATGGATGGATGGTTGGATGATTGGATGGATGGATGGATGGATGGACGGATGGATGGATGGTTGGATGATTGGATGGATGGACTGATGATTGGATGGATGGATGGATGGATGGATGGATGATTGGATGGATGGATGGATTGATGGATGGATGATTGGATGGATGGATGGATGGATGATTGGATGGATGGATGGATGGATGGATGGATGATGGATGATTGGATGGATGGATGGATGGATGATTGGATGGATGATTGGATGGATGGATGGATGGATGATTGGATGGATGGATGGATGGATGGATGGATGGACAGATGGATGATGGATGGATGGACGGATGGATGGATAGATGATTGGACGGATGGATGGATAGATGATTGGATGGATGGACGGATGGATAGATGATTGGATGGATGGATGGATGGATGGATGATTGGATGGATGGATGATTGGATGGATGGATGATTGGATGGATGGATGATTGGATTGATGGATTGATGGATTGATGGATGATTGGATGGATGGATGTGTAGCTAAGGTCACAAAAAGATAAAGTGGGACACAATGTCACCAGATTATTCGTACTTCAAGAGAAGATTTGTGTGTTTAAATGGTTATGAAGAATAGAGTTGTGTGTTTAAATGGTTATGAAGAATAGAATTGTGTGTTTAAATGGTTATGAAGAATAGAGTTGTGTGTTTAAATGGTTATGAAGAATAGAATTGTGTGTTTAAATGGTTATGAAGAATAGAGTTGTGTGTTTAAATGGTTATGAAGAATAGAGTTGTGTGCCTCTATGTCAGGCTCAGTTTTGCTGTTGTTCTTGGTTTCTGAAGGCTTCAGCTCAAGTCACCCACACTGTTACTCCCTTGCACTTGCACTTCTTCCGAGGTTCCCAGTGTATTACAGTAACAACTTAGAAATCCTGTCAAGCCTATAAAGCACTTAATGGTTTGGCTTTCCAGTACATTTCTGACCAGCTCACTAATTATATCTTATCACATTATGACCGACTGTCATGCAGTAGTTTTTCCAACTGAACATTAGGACATAGAGGATCCAGATCTGTCTCCATAATCACTGCCTTTTTTCAAATTTTGCATCACCAAAAAAAGGAGCTATGTTGCCATTATCTTGTGTTATAAAGTAGATGTGATTGGTGAAGTTAGAAAGGGTAAATAACTGATATTTATGTGAGTTTTTGTACACATCCATTTCAGGCCACCCTTGTATAAGTCACCGCCCCAGTTGGGCCACCACAGTCCAAAACAAAGTCTGGACACGCCCCTGCTGCCTCTCACTCATTGAAGGTGAATTCCTCGAATAATATCCTGTTGCGTTCTCGCATCAGCTCACTGTTCCAAATATTTTTTTCTCTAGTTTCAAATTTGAGGTATGCCAAGCCAACTAGCTGCTTTTGATTTATAAAGGGTAGCCGTCTTTTCATATATGCCTCGGTAAGAGAGTAAAAAACAAATGTTTCCCAAAATGCTGCCTTTTCCCTTCATGATTAACCGGAATGAAAATGGACTGAAGTTTATTTTTTAGAAAACAGCTTGCTCACAGAGCACATATAGAAAAATTATCTTTTTCTATATGTATAATTTTTACAATACTTGACAACATGCCTGAAAAGGCTTTCTGCGCTTTTTTAAAAAGTTTTCGGGCTGCAGGGGGTTGTTTTTGTCGCAGGATGGTCACTGGACAAAGTTGGCCGCTCTAAGGCATCCACACAGTTTCCATGTAAATGAAATACTATGGTGACAGTGTTTTCAGATGCAGATTTCTGCATAGCCGACCAAGCAGAGCTGAGAACAGAAGCTCTGATATTAACCTTGTTTAACCTGGATATTTTGCCTGTTGGATCAGTTTTTGTTTTTGCAATTGTTTAGCTAGTGCTGCTGATTCAGGTACAGAAAGAAGTGCACCAAATGTAACAAGACAGCAATTCACTCTGTAAGTATTTCTTTAATTTCAGACCCTAATGTGTTGTATATTTAATTTAGTATAATTTTTTCAGAATATGCTACTTAGTAAACGATAGCACAACTCATTTAGCCTTTGGAATTTTCCCTCCTATGACCTTTGTTGAGGAGATGAGAACTGCTTTCGTATTTGCCAGCAGTCATAAAAATGTTTCAATTAAATACATACATTTGTCATTGCTAGTTAGCTCTATCTTTACAAGTTTACCTGATATGGTTCCCAAAACATAAAAAGATCATTTGAAGGTGCCAGATGTTTTTCTGCTTCTATGGTAAGGGTTTAGTTCTGTATAGACACAAGCTGTTTTCAGACCTGCACTCTGCTCAAGCAGAAAACCTCCGGTGTTGAAAAATTAAGCCGAAAGGGCAAAAAAACTGCATTCTTTGACTGTCTGCGTGGAACCCCGGTAGTCACATACACACCCCTTTCAAAAAATACGTTTTTACAGCATAAATCAACATGTTTACTCCCTCCCACTCGCTCGAGGTAAAATCTCCTCGCTGTATCCTACTGCGTTCTCAAGTCGTCACATCTTCTCACTCGGACTGTCTGCAGAAAAAATGACTAAGGTGCCGGCAGGAGTATAACTCCGGTTAAAGTCTGAGGACGGCTGTTTGCGTTCACACATACACCTCACCCCGGAATGTGTGAAAACGACTAATAAATATAAAAACGATTTTATTGATAAAGATTTTGTTCCATTTCAAATAAAGCCACTGCTTACAGGGAAAGGATAGTAAGCTCACATCATGCTGTTCCTGCTTCTTTGTTCGCCCACAATCGAAAGCTCCTAATGTTTGTGTGCATTATAAGAACCATACAGTATGTACTTCCTGATCAATGTCTCCTACATGTGCAGCGGTGAGTGAGTGAGCCATAAAACAAAACTTATATAGCTCTGTGGAAAGCATTTATAAACCTATCAAAATCAATACATGCAATGTCTCCCTGGCTGAATTGTGGTGATGAACTACAGCGCAAACACACACTCATGTACAGATGGGAGGACTGGAGATGATGGGGAGGTGTTGGTGTTATAAAAGGGTCATAAGGAGCAGGTGTCTGAGAAAATCTGCTGGTCTCACTGTAAGGACGATAGTCATTATTGGCAGCCTGGCAGGTGAGTAACGCAGCTTTTTACATAACACCCTCACAGATCTGTTCGGGAAAAATCCAAACTTTTATATAAAATGAGCAAAGAGCACAGATTTGTACATCCAGAAAACACAAGTATCTTTATGATTTGATGGAAAACTTAAAACACATTTAGTCTCAGGGTTAATGTCTGTATTGTTTTTATATATGTGACCAACGACATATAATCTTGGGAGTGAAATCAGTCAGTTTGATTAGTAATCAAAGTGTTGGGTTTGTTTTACTGATCACAAACAGTGACATGACGGCAAAGATAACAGGATCATCCAACAGTAACCAATATGAACACAATGGTCAGCTCTTTTAAAACATGTTTTTTCTCCTTAAATGTTATTTAAGTATCATTGAATTCATTTGATGCTATGTTTGGGGTGATACGGGGTTGTAAACTCTTCATTCAGGATAAAAGGTGCAAAAAATGGAATTAAGGGGACTTTTTAAGTCTTTTTCTTTAAGCAACACGGTGCAGAGAGGCCACATGGTGGTGCAGTCATTAGCGCTGTTGTTTCACAGCAAGTTCCTGGTTTGTATGCTGCAACTCTTAGGAGTTTGCATGTTCTCCCCGATCATTCATGGGTTGCCTCCGGATACTGCGGCTTCCTCCCACAGTCCAAAGTCATTCTTCTTAGGTTAATTGGTGACTCTAAATAGCCCGTAGGTGTGAATGTTGAGTGTGGACGTTCCTTATGTGTCAGCCCTGTGATTGACTGGGGACCAGTCAAGGGTGTACCCCGCCTCTCGCCCAATGACAGCTGGGATGGGCTCCTGCCCCCCCCCCCCCCCCCCGTTGACCCCGCCTGGGATGAGCAGTATAGATAATGGATGGATGGATGGAAGACAATGCAGAAAAGAGAATAAGTAATGCAATACAGCTGTAGTGTTTTCAAGTGAATGTCCTGTGTGTGAGTCTGGAGAGTAAGATAAGGGGACAGGACACATATTACATGTAAAATTAACTCCCTCTGTGGGGCCTTTTTTGTTTCCAGCAGCACGGTCTACGATCCAAACAGAGGCTTTTTAAGACACTGAATTATTCCCCGTGTTTACAACTCCAAGGCGATGCATATGAATCTTCCTGCACTTACTCTTTGCCTCCTTGGCACAGGTAAGAAAAATGTCCAACCAAAGAAATCTAGAAATCAACTTCTAATAAAGATCCTTGTACTTAGTTTGTATGCTGTCTCTAATGGCTTGATCAATCAATAATTTACCAATTCTTCATAGATCAGTTACAAGTCATTATTATGAGGTGATAAATAATACGTTTATTCATTCTTAAAATACATTTCCAGATGTTTCCTTTCTTTCTAAGAACAGGTATAAATGTTATTGAGTGATTTTTAAATGTTTAAATCATTAATTTGCATTTATAAGTTAAAGCTTTGTGGATTTTGCTCCAGATTTTTTAAAACTGAACAGTCAAAGAAATGTAATTTACATGACCAAGAAACCAAAAGTTGTTCTTATTAATGCTTATACATTACTTCTAAAACATTCATTACACATTTATGCATACTGCCTTGTTGCAAAAAATCGTATCAAGTCAGTTTGGAAATCACATCAGTGGGTCCTGACGAGTAAAGCTTTGTAAAACAAGGAAGCACATTCAATGTTGTTAAGATGTATAAATATAAAACAGCCAACATTTTTTTATGTAATGATTTGTGTGCTGTGCAGTAAAAAGGGAGGAGGGAATAAACAGTGTGTGGAGGTTGGGTTGAGGTACATCCAGCATAATTATCTTTGAGTTTCAGTGTCGTCATGACCCAGAAGTTTCTGTCTTTAGAGTAAATGTTCTGAAGTATTAAAAGTTTAAACCTTACCATTAAAATTCTTCAAATGATCGAGCTTGTATTTTCTGTGGTGCTTCAGGTCAGTTCAGTCAGCCTCATTTCTTTGAACAGGTTAGACATCCATGTCTGGTGCTAAAACACAATCAATAAGAACAACGTCTTGGATTCTGGGTCGTGTAAATTACATTTCTATCCAACTCATAAATGCAAACTTGATAAAATAATTGATGGCTGTATTGACTTTGATTTCCACTTTCCATTTTTTTAACAACTTTGGTTGATACTTAAAGGTGCAGAAGTAAAAAAAAAAGAAGTTGATTAATGAAAAAATGAATAATTGTGCTGTTTGGACCTTAAGGCGTTACAGAACGAAGAAACAGAACAAAACAAACACGTTAAAAAAGGGATTCTTTTTGACAGACTTCTGTAACCCACTGAAAAACCACTTTTGGGTCCCGACCCACCAGTTGCTAACCAGTGATCTAATGGTTGGTTTCAAAACTGTTTGTCAAAGAGGTTGGGCATAATGTTAAAATATTTGAATGGGGCCATTGGTTTATCTTTATTATATTTAACCATTGTTCCCAGTAATAATACAACACGTCATTCTTAAACTGTGTGTTTACTTTCCTTAATCTAATTTCCTTAATAGCTCATCATAAACTAACGATTATGAATAACAAGACTTGAGCATGGCAAGTTACAAGACACAAAATACATTTGGACATATATATTGACGTTAGGTGACCTGAATGAAACTTCAAATCTGGGCTGTGACTTAACTCCGAGATGATTTGAGCCCTTGAGTATCTTAACCTGTCCTGTAGTTGTTGAATTCTTAATCGAAATGTTTTTATTTTAAAGTTTTTTAAAGATCTTTACAAACTGACTTTGCTTGGATCTACATATTTAAAAAAATTGCATTTTTAATTTTTTGCCTTTTTCCAACAAAGTGGTAGTCACCCAAAACCTCACAGACCCATCAACTTCGTCCAACTCAAACAAATTACTACCAAATGGCACCTCTGTTGCCCCCACCTCAGCTGGACTCAATATCACAACGTCCAACATTACTGAAATGACAGATTCAACCATGACAACGGAAAACCCTTCATCCATCACCACCAAGCCTGCTGACCAAGGATCACCAGAAGGACTTTCAGATGGCGCCATAGCTGGCATTGCCATCGGCTCGATTGCTGGAGTGGCCGCTGTCGGTGGGTATAAAATGAGGACACGCTAAAGTTTCTTCTGTTACTCATTGACTAGAATTCAATGCATCTGAAACAAGACTTCAGAAGGATGATTTTATATTGACACTGCGCCACTTCTTCCTGATCAGTGTCTCCATTCTAACCAACTGAGAGATTCATAAACTAAGGTCTTTGTAGGAGCGATGGGTGTGTAAGATAGTAAATTCCTTTCAAACCTTGGAAGCCCGTTCCACTAGTAAGAGAGAAAATATGTAGAAATTTGAAATTCTAAAAGATATATTTGTCATGATAAGGGCTGGGAAAATATATCGATACAGCATTTTATTTCCTCATCCTGACTTGTGTGATAGAGATATTGATCGCACTTGGGCCAAATATTGATATTTCCCTGCTAATGTGGCTAACTGCGCTGGCGCTTATGACATAAAGGAGGGTAATGTGAAAGAATTGGCAAAAGAAGACGTTAACAGCGGGCTAAAAGAAGACGAAGAAAATGGGATAATGTGAGACAGCAGTGAAAAGATGGTAATAATAATAATAACACACTTTTCTTTTTTAAGCAAATTCATTTAAAGGCAGGGTTGGTAACTTTCCAAAAACGAGCATTATTTTGAAAGTAGCATTCCCTCTGTGGTCCCTCAAAAGCCACGCCCCCTCACTTACATGCACGAGTGCCGTTGCTCCAGAAGTGAACCTCAGCTCTTACATTGTGTATAAACTACGTTGTCTCATGTCTCATTCAGCGGTAAGTTAACACTAAAGTTTATCTTAATACATGTTAAAAAAACAACAACCATGACAACTTTACTACTCAAAACAGCCAACGACAGACTCACAGTATAAACTCTGTCATCGGTGACACGCTTAGAGTGTTGGATAGTGCACGTATTGGGCAGAGAACGAGCAGGGAGACAGGGAGGCGTCTGATTGGTTCATCAGATTGGTACTACGTGGCAGACATTGGTTGAAGTCTTTTCAGGCTTACAAACTGATACAGATGTCGGATTTTCTTCGTTCAATTTTCAGAGAAGCTGAGTTATTAATTTCTGTCAGGACCTAAAGACAATTTCAACCAAAATCTTAAAAAGTAAATCTGAAGGAAATTACCAACCCTGCCTTTAAACTGGCTTCACCAAATGGTAAAGCGATAATAAAGCAAAAGGAAAGAGAAACTAAATGGAAAATTAACAAACATTTCTGAGGTGCTTATGCGTTGAGATTAAAGAAGAATGTGAATTTAAAAGCCTGCAAGAGGCTTCAAATTAAATGTATTTTAATCTGATTTGATGGATATATGTTAGAACTTTAAAACCAAACAAACAGATGAAACTGAAGTGGTCTCAAACTCTCGTTAAAGATGATGAACATTAAAAGGCTTCATCTTGTTTTTCAGGTGGTGGTGTCTTTGGTGCTCTGAAGTTAACCGGGAGGCTTTGAGACCAGTCATGAAACACACATCATGTGCAAACCATCTTCAACAAACCAGATTTCATCCTGAATGCACATTGAAAAATCACCTTTTGACTTATTAACTCAAATCAGAATAAATAAAAAGAACATGTTTAAGTGATATTATGGGACGATAAGAAAACACTAAAGTCTGTGTGACTGCTGGGCGATTATGATTGTTTGCATTGCTTCAGTTTGGGAAATAATCACTAACAGATGAATATACACATCTGTTATTTTTGTATTAAATATCAAGATATTTTCATGTTTTTTGATTTTTGATTATAGACATTAATTCCAACAGTGTTTGGTTTTAATTACTAGTTTTTCTTTAACGTCTATCTCATCTGATAACTGCTGTCTTTGGATTTTAAAAGTAAGTTGGATTCAGTTGAATAATAATGTGATTCTAAGATTTTGGGATACATATTTATCTATAATGGCAAGCAATGACATGTGTGTTTGATGCATGTACAGCTCCATTTTCTTTGTCCTTTTTCAATAAAATCTTTTGTAAATCATTCAGACATTATTCCTACGCTCCGTCATCAGTTTGATATTTGATGACATCATGCCTCTGTGTTTTTCAATCTGAACTCTGTTTTCTCTGGCAGAAAAAAGCTTTGAAATGTCTGGATACATTCAATAAATAACAATATTTTATTTTAATTTGACTCCTGTAACATACTGTAGCATTTCCATATTCATTATAATAGCTGAGTAGCGTAGTCAGGGTTGCCAGGTCTGTGTGACAAAACAAGCCCAAAAACCAGCCCAATGCCGGAAATCAAAATAAGACCTTAAAACATCTGGCAAGACAGCGGGACTGTGTGTGTGTGTTTGTTACTGCATGTGTATTTGGTTGTGGGAAATATTCAATGTGTACCTTTTGTTTCGATTTGGTTTTTTGTGTTAACAGGGTAGTTTATTTATTATATTGATTTTTATTATTAATTTACATCAAAAATTAATATCAAATGTAGGGCCACTCAACCCGCCGATAAAAAGAAAATAACCCGCAGCAGCACCTAAAAAGTAGCCCAATTGCTCGGGAAAACCACAGACCTGGCAACCCTGAGCATAGGGGTAAGCGTGCACACCCCATGTATGGAGGCTATATTCCTTCAAGCGGGTAGCCCAGGTTAGAATCAGACCTCTTGCTCCTTTCCCCCTCTCTCTTTCTCCCAGATTTCTGACTCCATCCACTGTCCACTGCCCAAAAATAAACCTTAATAAATAATAATAGTAGCTCAAGCTATGTGTGTAAAGTCCAGGTGTCGGTTATATAACTGCTGCTGTGCTGACTTGAGGTGTTTGTTCATTTTATGAGATAATGATGTTCTTGTATAATATGTGCATAAGCCTCCAGATTAGAGTCTAAAATCAATGTTTACAGAATATGATAGAGAAACTTCCCTTCTAATTATAGACTGACCAGGCTCAGCCCAGAGCGTCCATCCCATGTTTGTATAGACCGGAGCGCCAACGTGAATTCTTGACAGCAGAAATGTTATGTTTAATTACATGTAAAGATGTTTATTTCGTCAGTTAATTTTGGCTTTTTAACTGTTTTTGGTACTGCCTTTTCAGGATGCTTTAACACCGTTGTGTTGCTGCAGGGGGCAGCATTAAACAACCAAACCAGATTAACCCTTTCATGCATACTGGTCACTACAATGGACAGCTATTCAAAATAAATTTTCTCCTAATTGCAATGGTTTTGATGGAATGGTTTCACATCAGCCTCTCCAGTGGAGTATAGCAAGTAAGCCCGTATACTGTCATCCGTCGGCCATCAAAAAATGTCCTAAAAATCAAGATGGCCGATGTAACTCACAAATGCCGTGTGGTTCAGGAGAATCTTACAAATCCTGTTATGATAGTAGAGCCTCATCCACTCTGATGGACATTTCTGTAACCTCTTCAGAATTATGAATATTTAACAAATAAAAAACAATAATGTAACTGTTCTAAGAAGTAAAACAAATCATATAAAAAGAAAATCTGGCTAAGTCATGCATGAAAGAGTTAGTGAAATAAAATAGGATAACTCACTGCGGATTAGGAGTTTGGTCCTTTATAAATGCATCAAAAAATATCTAGTGGAGCCTAAAGTGATTCTTGAATGTGAGAATATCCAACAGTTTAATAATTAAAGTGATATATTGTGTTATCTAATGCAGGACCAACCTGTTATACTGGACAGGTAATTAATATTCAACTCAAAAGTCTCAGGACATACAGTAGGTATACTTTTACTTGTTGGCTAATAATCCATTTTTTGGGTGTTATATAGTTTGTGACAGCTGATATAAACCAGCTGGTCAGTAGAGGGCGCTTCTGTGTAATCAAAGTATCAATAAAAGAGCGGAGAAGAACATACTGGAGAACAGGAACATAATGCAGCAATGTGGGGCATTACTTTATGTTTATTTAATTGAAAACAATTTAAACCTACTTTTTGTTTTTTTAAGTGCTTCAACATCTCTTCAAACCAGGTCACCATTACGGTTAACCTCATGTTACATCACGGTGGCACTTTGTCGTGGACTTCGGCCCCTCATTAGGCCTTCACAGATTGATGATACGGTCATTAGCTGTGGAAGTATCAACACAGGGAGGGCTCGTCAGCAACACTGCTCCCATGCAGGCAAATTACTGTTAATACCCTGAGCTGTGTGATCAGCCCATATGGTGTTCATGGGAGCCAGAGGGACTGTGTGTGTGTGTGTGTGTGTGTGTGTGTGTGTGTGTGTGTGTGTGTGTGTGTGTGTGTGTGTGTGTGTGTGTGTGTGTGTGTGTGTGTATATACATGTTGGGGGAGGGTTATGTCCTATCTGTGTGTATCTGCAAAGATGACATTAAAGCGATGGTCCAAAGAGAACATTTTGATGATATTTTGTACTTTTTACTAACACTTAAAGATCTTTGTTGCACAGTGACGACCATGTTTGAGTAAATTATGTTCAAATTGACAAAATTGAACTTTTCAATGTCCTTGCTCTCTCCACCCAACATTTCCCGTCTCTCTTCAGCTGTCCTAAAGGCGAAAAACACCCTCCAAAAAAAAAAATCCCTGCAGCTTTCTTCTTTTGCACATGAGGTATTCTGCAGAGTGAAGGTCAAACATGAACGTGAAGGAACAGTACGCAATGTCCAAATGAAAAGTGTTAAAGCTTCTCTGAAGGTTGTAAAGGTGTAGTTTTTAAAAGGTCTGTTTAATACCAATAGTTGATCTGAAATATTATATATATGTTAGGTAACACTTTATAATAACCATCATCTATAAACATTACAGAGATACATGGATCAGATATTTATAGATGCTTTACAAAGTATTAATAAGGGATTACAGTCTTCAGTTCCAACTTTATAATAACCATCTTAATAATGTTAATAGACGCTTTATAAAATATTTACAAACCATGAACAAATATCTGGTCCGTGTGTCTCTGTAATGTTTATAGATGTTTTATAAACCATCTCTTAAAGGTTTATAAATCATTTGGTCATCATTAACAAACACTTTATAAAATGTATAAAATGTTTTAATTTGTGCATCAATAAACTGTTAACATTACATAAATAATAGCATTACAAATCATTAGCAAACATTATTAACTATCATTTCATTGTTTGTTAACAGTAAATAACTATTAACTCATGGCTAATTAACAATCTATTTACCCTTTATAGATGATGGTTATTATAAAGTGCTACCATATGGTTAAATATGTGAGTTTCCTGTTTTCGTCTGTAACAGATTAACAGACTGTAATTAATTTACTATCAATGCATATTTAAATTATGTCAGAGAAATAAGACATACAGCTTTAGGCCAAATAATGATTTGCTCGACGGAGTGACTAACGACGGAGTGAGAGAAAAAAAAAATGAGGATCTCAAAAATCAGTGTCAAAATGTTCCTTCAAAAATAAAAACAGATTTGAAGTCACCTTTTTTTAAAATTCCATGATTATTAATCCAATCCAATGAGTAAAAAAGGTCAATAAATAACAAGAGCTTGAAAGATGTTTGATATTTAAAAAAATAAAAATCTATCTGTGGAAGATGCACAGTCAGTTACAGCTGCAACAACACTCGACCCTGCTCACATAACTTCATCTTTTGTCTTCACAAATTGGTCTCCTCGGACACAGATCATCTGTCTAAAGAACAGTAACCTAATCTCTCTCTCTCACACACACACACACACACACACCTTTCCCTCGGGCATTAACAAAGCTCAGTGGGTCAGAGAATTTTCAATAGATGGTCAACATTCAGGAGTTTCCTCAAAGGAAATAATGAAGAACGTTTTGGAGTGGCTTCAACAAGAAAGATTTTAAATTGAGAAATCATAGAAATGAATCAACAAGCAAAGTGTGATTTTTTTTGGCTTGATGTATTTCATATTTAATGCTGAAAAATAATCTCAAATCCAGAATATGCAGCACTATGCACAGCTCCCTCTGGTGGCTGCAGTGTGAAACTACATCTCCGTCGTCACGTGGTCTTGTTAATGTGGGTCAAAGGTGTTTCTGACTTAATCCAATGTGACGGTAATCTGCTCATTTAGCCTGGAAATTCACAGCGGGCGGTGCACACTCCCTGACCTCTGCTTGTTCAGTTTACGGAGAGGAAATTCCTTCATGTGGTACTGGAATGAATCAACATGACACATTTTTTACTTTTGATATAATACAGTAAGAATGACCAGATTTAGCATATTTAACATCACAGACCTTTTACAGTAGTCAGCAAATAAATGCTCAATCATTGGATGATAAATAGACTTGATTTTGTATATTTATTTTCTAGTCTACTGACTGCTCAAAGCTCTTTTACACCTCAGGACACACCTACACATTCACACACTGACGATGGAGGCTGCTGAGTAAAGAGTCCATCATTCATACAACACCAACGACGCACCAAAGACATTATTTTGATTAAAAAAACAAATAACTTAAATTCATTCATAGTTTGATTTTTATCCCCCCGGTTACGGCCACAACCTTCCCGGTGTTACAGTCAAAGTGAATGGCACACCTCCTAAACACAATGATGATTGTTCAGTGATATTTATAGTCTTGGTCTTGGTCTTGACTCCGTCTCGATCCCTAAATGTCTTGGTCTTGTCTCGGTCTCAGATGACTCTAGTCTCAATTAGTCTGGTCTTGACTACAACAACACAATCCTCATGAACTCCTCCTCTCATCATCTCTTCGTCTGACCGGACACATGACAAAATAAAACAAAAACACAACTGACGCAGAGTAAGTTAACATGGATGTTTTAATCATTTATAGACTCTAAACTGACTAAAGAGGCAAAGTCAGCAAACGTTATTGCTGGAAGAAGTTTATCGTTTCGTTGCGTTTGTACACAGCTGCTTTGGTTTTTGTCTGGCGTTAAACACAGTACACTTACATTCACTGTGCTGTCCATAAATACTGTACAAAAATAAACACCACAAAACTCTCTCCGCTGGAGGACTTCCACTCTTCAAAGAGGAAATCATA